TATTTTTTTTAGTTGTTTTTAGTTTATATTACATAGGTAGTAGATCAAATTTACAAGAAAGAAAATCCAGTGGTTCTCAAAATTTTAGCAAAAAATATTTTTTTTGGAAATTTTCAAAGTAAAATAACTCCGTTGTTTGGAAAAACCATAAAGAGAAAATTTGTTTCTTTGATTGAGATCTACCACCCCTTACAATACTTGCACTTATTTCTGGGACACCCCGTATATACAACTTTGGTTTGAAAATATGTTTGAATTATACTGTATGTTGACAAAAATATTTTCAAAATGTGCGTTACCATTGCCCCTATTTTGTATTTAAAAAAATTGAAATGAAATTCACAAACCAAAACAAAATGTAGACCTTTTTCGAAAGCCTGAATCACTTTGTATACCGGGTGCGTCTCAAAAGTGGCTCACCCCCTATAACTTTTTTATTTTTTCACATAAAAAACGAAATTTGGTATGTTAGTATATGACATAAATTAGAATTGATTGACGTATTCAATTGTATTTGGTCACTTCCTGTTTCACCGGAAATGACTACAACTTTTGATTTTTCAATGACACCCTCGGTATTTTTTTACTTTATTTAATAGAAAATTACACTCTGAATAAAATAACATGTCATATCTCGACTTTTAATATTTTCGCATATGGTTTATTTCAAATTGTAACATCCTGTTCATTAGACTATTTGACTCGAAATACCAAATATGTGGTACCAAATTATTCATAAAAAAATGCTTTTTCCAAGTATTTTTCCATTTGAAAAAATTGAGTTATGATTATAAACACGATTTGATCATTGATTTTAACCGGCCAGGAAAAGACACGAAAAACATTAGACGACCAAATCTATTTTTACAAGACTCCTTGATTAAAAATTAGTGTTTTTAACACAGCCATGGCACTCAAGATTGAAATTAAAAATACGATTTTGTTTCAAGCAAAAATGTCAAAAGTTGAAATATATGTCATTCTATTCAGAGTGTTATTTCCTATCGAATAAATTAAAAATATACCGAGGATATCATTTAAAAATCAAAAGTTGTAGTCATTTACGGTGAAACAGAAAGTGACAAAAACTAATTTATGTCATATAATATATACTAACATACCAAATCTCGTTTTTTTATCTGAAAAAATAAAAAAAGTTATTATGGTGAGCCACTTTTGAGACGCACCCGTATATATAACATTTTTATTTTTATCTAAACATATTATTGGTTGGGGAGAAATGTTATCGTAATATCTTCATCGTATCGAAATCTAATTTATCTCTTTCTCTAGTAATTGGATCGAATATTCCTATAGCAAAGCAATGTTAAGGAAGGGTTTATAAAAAATGACCAGGGTCCGACACACACACACAGAGTTAATTATTAATTTGGTTGTTGCGACGTGGCCGAGCCGTCCCGTCCGGAGGCCCGCGTGTTTGTTTAGACCCCTGTCGCTTTTGAATGATGGCCCTAGCCGAGCCCTTACAGATGTTAAACGATCGAAGAATTGATTTTACCTGAGCTTTTAAGGAAAGCACCCTCTCCGGTTTTTTTCTTTCCGTCCCACCGAACGAATGATAATGCAATCTATTTATTTTTGATTTGGGATATTTATTTACGTGTTTATTTTTGGTCCTGTCTATAACAGAGCAGGTATATTAAGAATAATATATCTCATGGGATTGAAGAATAATATTATCAATACCACCGAATATTAAGCCACTACCTACTGGAGTTCGATAGGTTGAATTTCAAATAATATACATTTTCCTAGATGAGTAATATAAAATATGAAAGATCTCTCTCTTTGGTCCGTTTCCCTGAAGAGGGATTAGTGACTATGATGTTCCTGTAGCGGTTTTTATCGTATTGTGCCAGTCCGCTCTGTTTTGAGCCATGCTGACGGTTTCATGAAGGCCTTGGCCGATTAGGTCTTTAGTTTGATCAACCCATCTCTTGGGTGATCTTCCTCGCGGTCGCTTTCCCTCGACTATTAGCAGCTGCAGTGAGTCCGTTCTTCTAGCAATGTGACCAATATATGTCAGAAAACATCGGTTTAATTTTTTTGAGAGGCTGAGTTGTGAGTTTAGTTCTTGGAGAACTGACTCATTCGTACGATGGGCTGTCCAAGGTATACGTAGCAGACGTCTATATGCCCACATTTCAAAAGCATCTATTCGCCTGGTATCGCTTTTCTTCAGCGTCCATGTTTCCGCCCCATACGTAGCAATCGGGAAAACAAGCGAGTTCAGCAGTCTTAGTTTGGTGTTCTTAGTGATGGCTGTATCTTTCCATATCTTAGTTAATTTAGTTACGGCTGTTCTAGCCAGCGCAATTCTACGTCTTATTTCGCCTTCGCATGAGCCGCTGTTGTCGATTAGCGATCCCAGATATAAGTATTTATTAACCACCTTAAATCCAGCTATGTTTCCCAGGTGAGGTTGGTTGTTGTTTTGTCGGTCCACAATCATGACAGTAGTTTTGTTAGGATTAAGTAGCTAGTAAGATTAAGTATATGAAAGATACGGGGTTGTAATTGTTCACCACATACGAGACAGAGTATTGTAGCTAAACGATTAGATTTTTACAAATTGTAAGTTTTGCGTTCGTTGAAGAACTATTAGAGCTACAATTAAAAAATATTTTTACAAGATACAGAGTGTCCCAAATAAATAAAGAAATGTTATAGTTGTCTTTTTTAAACGGAACACCCTGTATATTATTTTACTTTTATATTCTACGATTAAGGTTTATCACACTTAAACCTAGCCGTTTTTTAAATAATTGTTTCGTGAAATTGTAGTAAAAATTTTAAGGCTTCATTTCTCCAAGGGTTTGAAAGTTTTTAATGGTATATATTTAATGAAGTTTATGTATTGATCAGATATTGTTATGTAATAATAAAAACAATACTACCTTATACAGGTGTCTAAAAATTTATTTAAAATAATTACTAGCTTTAAACGGCAATAACTTCTTTAATTTAAATAGAATACCCTATATATTTTACGAGAATCAGATGCACAATTTAATTGACTATCAAATTGTACCATTTTTTACCTATCTCTTCAAGTTTTCGTAGAAAATGCATTTTCTTATAATTTAGATCTCATTTATCAATACACCCATGGAATACTGACATTTAGATTGTCTTAGAGCAACAAATGTACAAAATGTACAGGTACTAAAAACGATAATATTGCAAGCCCATCTGTTGTTTCGCAAAAATAAAACTATTTCAATCTTTGTATATAAGATTATTAAGTATATAATTATAAGTATTATAAGAGTATAATATAGTTACTATACTTAATTGTTTTAGTTAATGAGTTATTCTATATAAATGTGGATTTGAATCAAAAATCAATACAATAATAAGTTATGAAAATGAACGTCTCTCTTATTATAAACTAGCGTGTACCAGCGACTTCGTTCGGGTCGAATTAATCATTTGTAATGGTGATTATAAAACAAAGCAAGAATTTCCATTAACATACAAACTGGATAAAATTTTCTCACATTTATGTCAGCATGAGAAAAAACAATATGCCGATATGATTACATAACTTGGTAATATTGGAGGGATGGTTTCATCTCGTTGGAATTTGACTTGACTTTTGAAAAATCCGTTTGCCAAAAATGAGCTTTTTACGTCAAGCAGTTTAAGCAGAATCGTGGTTAATCAATTACCCAACTTTTTGGAACACCCTGTACGATTTTTTAAAAAATTTCAAAATATGTAAAAAAACAAAATAAACTATGCGTGTTCAAGCGTTTTCCCGAAAGACTAACCGTTTTTTAAATAACAAATATTGTAATATTCGAGGAGCGTTTTCACCCTCTTGGAATTTGACATTAGAGAAACCCCTCCTTATCGAACCTCTACACCCCACAATCTCAATCCGTTTGCTAAGAATCAGTTTTAAACTTCAAGCAGTTTAAGCAGAATCGTGATTACTCAATGGTCATATTTTATGAAACACCCTGTATAATTTTTTTAAAAATCTTGAAATATGTAAATCAACAAAATAAAATATACGTGTTTAAAAGTTTTTCCGAAAAACTCACCAGTTTTTAAATAAAAAATATTCTAATATTTGAGGGGTGGTTTCACCCCCTTAGAATTCAAGTTTCGAAAAATCCCTTCTTATCGAACCTCTACACCCTAAAGTCAATCCGTTTTCCAAAAATCAGTTTTTTACGTCAAGCGCTTTAAGCAGGATCGTGATTAATCAATGCCAGATTTTTGAAACACCCTGTATACATTTTTAAAAAATTTTAAAATATGTAAAAAAAGAAAATAAAATATACGTGTTTAAGCGTTTTTTCGGAAACTTGACCGTTTTTTAAATAAAAAATATTGTAATATTTGAGGGGTGGTTTCACCCTCTTGGAACTGGAATTTCGAAAAATCCCTTCTTGTCGAACCTCTACACCCTAGAATCAACCTGTATGCCAAAATTGAGCTTCTTACGTTGAGTGGTTTGAGCAGGATCGTAATTAATCTTATATATTAGTATAGATAAGCATTCGTCAAAAAATCAAATAAAATTTATCAGGTGTTACTATTTACCACACTGTCTAATACACATACAAAATTCAGTTTTTTGTTATTTAGAGCAATTATTATTATTAATCAATGCAAACAGTCAATTAATGTAGTTTGAATACTGGTATCATATTAATTGGTCGTCTTTAACAAATATTTAAACAGTTTTTTTTAATTTTTTAATTAGTATCTAGTACTCATTGTATCTGGTACTAGTTGTATTTAGATATTTTAAATATATTTTTTCTGTGTTTTTTTGCTTCTGGAGACAGGAAGAGATATACTTCCTGAAACAGACACTAACAAGCTTGTTTCCCTTTAGACTCAACTCCAGTAGAATTTACAAAAAAAAACTTTTTATTTTGTAGATTTCTTTTCAAGTGGTAAAAACAGACTTTTTTCAAGAAATGAACCCCTCACAATGGCCAAAAATTATTCAAAATATTTACCCTTCTGAAATCCATGTGCCTGTCAGCATTTTTGATGTTGTCTCCACAACTGTGCCACCATCTTCTAAAGCCGCCAGTTCAGATATCTTCTTACAACTGGAGCTTGCAACTAATTTGATCACTAAAACAACTGTAACAAAAAAACCTTATATGAATATATCAAATATACAAAGAGCATCAAGTCGAACTCGACGAAGTTTGAGTGACACTAATTCATAATCCTTGAATTATTGTTGTTACATTCATATACAAATAAAATCAGAAGAGACCACTTCGATTAATTCTATTTGTCTGCCTTTTTCTCGAATGGAAACTCAGTTACCGGTAGCGGCTAGACACCTAACTTGTAATCCATAAGGACATTTCGAGATTTTTCATTTTTTTTTCTTTAGATATAAGCTTAAAGCTACCTAAAATTAAAAAGTTGAAGTTTATGACACATCTAGAAGTACCTTAGAATTTTGATGACGTGTCAGTGAGTCAATGTTGAAATTAAAGAAATTTGACAAACGATAATTCATAAACTATGAGGTATAATTACTAGATATTTTAGTAATCTAGCCAGCTATAGTATGTCCCCATGTTTAGTTAAAATTAACATTCTTGCTTTATCCACAACCAGTCCATTTCACTAGTCCAAGAAAGTAGCAAAATAAGCGTTCGGCATTCAACATTTTATGTAAATCTGGCTAGGTATTTTAGACAAATGAAGAAGGAAATTAAAAATAAAGAATTATACTATATCCGTATTGTAGCACATTTTTAAACAATTTCTATATTTTTAAGATTTTGATGGTCAAACATCAAGAAAATATTCCTTATGTTTGGACTAAATTTTCTCGAAAATAAAGCCATAATTTAAAATTCCGTTAAAATACGGGAATAGATTGAAGTTTTGTGATTACAGTGATATATAATTTATATGGTTTTGTAACAAATTGCTCGCTATTTTATGGCAAATGCTGAAGCTTTGCAAACCTTAATCAAAGCAAGTGTGTTTGGAATTTTGGATGTGGCTTAACACGACTGGATCGGGCTAAGCCTTAAGCAGATTTCTGAAATATAATATATATTTCCTTCGGCCACACACCGGCCCAAACCAAACCAAACCAACCCGAAAGTACAGCGTAATAGACTCTTAATATAAGTTAAGCTTACTATAAGTTAAGTCCTGTAAAAGTTTTTTTTCTAATATATAAATTATATTAAGTTACTCAAAAAAAGTTTGGTATAATTTGTTTAAAAACTGTTTTACATTTTCATTTAAATTCAAAATAAAATTTACTATTATGTTTCTTAACTTAATATAGTTTGCTTCTGGGGTACAGATATAGATCAATTTTATAGTAATAAACTAAGGGGGGGGGGACATAAAAAACTCAAATAAGAATTTAAGTATCACAAATCGACTGAAGGAAATAATATAATATGTACTTAATATAGTCTGTTCAACGAGTAAGGGCATATTTCGACAGACGACGTCCAATAAAGGGCAGAAAATATAATTTATTGTGAATTAAAATGATACTGTCCTTGTATACAGGTTGTTAACTGGACAATTACTTATAGGGGAACAGAATGGCAACACTGCCTATTGAGAACGCATGCACTTATAGGGTTTTCTGCCGACCCGTCCCGTCGCGTCGTCATCGACGAGCGGGCCAAGGTTGTCATATTTCAACCATAAAGCTCTTGCCGCGAGTAATAAACAAATTAACAACCTGTATGTGTCATATACTATACTGTCTATAGCCTATACTAATGTACTAGATTATACATGTCGGTGGAGCTAAATGATTGAAGGAAATAAATATGAAGGTAACAAATAATGAAAAATTGAACAAAACAAACTAAAAATTAAGAACAAGAGACCTGGGACTAGTTCATTTTGTACCGGGGTCAGAATTCTTCATTGGAACTAGTTCGTTTAGGAACGACACATCTCCTAGCCCCCCCTCTCCATTTAAAACCTCACTTTTAATAAATATAGAAAATGTTTCATCTATATCTATCTTTTGAGATATACTAATTGCTTCCTGTAATTTAATCAACTAGACCAGTGTTTTTCAATCTTTTTGATTTCGCGACAGGTTGAAATACTCAGGCGATCCCCTGTGTCATAGAAAGCCAAAAAAATAATTTAATTAAATGACTAGATACGTTAGGTAATTATTTTTTCCTATTTTGGTATATTTATTGTAGTATTTGTGCGCTTTGAAGCAGATACCAGTATCAGGGAAGAAATTTTATTTTGGTAAGCACTTCCTGCAAACACTACTGGCCAGTGTTTATACGATATGTTTTTAGAAAGTACTTGCGACTACGATATTGATTGGAAAAAATGTATTGCTATTTGTAGCGATGGCGCTAAAGCTATTACTGGCAAAAAGAGCGGACTTATGGCAAAGTTAAAATCGATGATGCCAAACATATCCTGGACACACTGTTTTCTTCATCGACAGGGTCTAGCTGCTAAGGTATTACCTTCTGATTTAAATGAAGTGCTCAAGGAGGTAATAAAAATTGTGAATTCTATCAAAGGTAAAGCTTTGCAAACCCGGCTATTCAGAATCATATGGGCTCGCTTCATCAAAATCTCCTTTATCACACAGAGGTCAGGTGGCTATCCAAAGGAAAGGTATTGACAAGAGTTCTGGAACTGAAAGCTGAATTGTTAATGTTCTTACAAGATGCAAAATCTGAATATGCTTCTCGATCCTCTGACCCTATTTGGCTGTTGAAATTAGCATTTTTGGCAGATATTTTTAGCCACCTTAACAATTTGAACAAGAACCTTCAAGGAAGAGAAGAAAATATGTTAACAGCGAAAGATGAAGTAAAAGCATTTCACGCAAAACTTCGTTTGTTCGTCAACCTCTCTGCAAACAAAATGTTCGAATATTTTCCATGTGTTCAGAAGATTATTGAAGAAAATGCAACTGAAGCTGACAATGGGCGTAGATGGATTTTAAACCCTTTTTTCGCCAAATCAATAGATCTGGCTGATGTCACCATAAAAATGAAAGAATGTCTTCTAGATTTAGCCGCTGATGGCATGCTTAAAATGGAATTTTCTTCACACAAGTGTCGACGTATTTTGGATAAAAAGAAAACACGAATATCCAGAGCTGGCAAGGGAAGCTCTTAAATTATTAGTGCCATTCGCCACTTCATACTTGTGTGAACTGACATTTTCTTCAATGGCAGACATTAAAACTAAAAAAACAAATAGACTGCAATTAGAAAACGATTTTATTATTAACGTTTCAAAAATAGCACCACAATTTGACAAACTGTTGAAAATTAAACAAGCACATCCTTCTCACTAAAATTGTGTTTTTGTTGTGTAAGAACCTCGACTTTTTCTTTCAGCCGGCGCGGCGACCCCCCAGTGAGTTTTAGGGGTTGCCCCTAGGGGTCGCGACCCACAGATTGGAAAACACTGAACTAGACTATTATTCAATTACTTAATTATTAGAGTCGGAGAGAGCTTTCTCCGTCCATATTCGTGTTAACAGAAAGTCAGTAACAAACACAGATATTCTGTTCAAATTGACAGGTCAATATAATCACCTCTTTAGACCGTAGCGTATATTTGACAAGCGCGTTCAACAAGCTCGGTAGTACCAGCTTGGAAAAGAAAATGTTTTAACGACAAAGCCAAATAATCGTTAGAGCTCGTAAACGGTATAGGCCGAGCGGCCCAGCTTGAATACAAGCAAAATAACACCGAAAATAAATAAACAGGCCAATGGTGTAATTGAATCAGGAAACAACGCTGACTTGTTAATACAGTTCCGTGAAAGATTTATATTTGCTCTTGCGTATTCGGAAACTCGTACGCTTATTAGACCAATGTCGATATACAAATAATGTAGAGAGTACGGTCAAATTTTCATGTTTTCATTTTCACAGGGAATGTAGAATAGTATGACAGATATATGAGAATATCCCCATACAAGGTGTTTCAATTTTGGCTTTCACCATTGGGATCGCGGAAACGGTAAGAGATACAGGATGGCTTCAACCCGGAAATGTCAGTTTTTCCAGCATAGTTCAGACATTCAGAAATGACAAAGATAAGTTAATAAAATAGTTACTAAATGGATTATCACTAACAGGCAACTTTTCCCTAATTTAAGCCACCCTGTATCTCTTAGTGTTTCCGAGATCCCAATGGTGAGACTCAAATTTGAAACACCCGATATACAAACACCAAATTTTATACTTTTTGCTTACTTAACGGAATTATAGACCTTTTATACAGGGTGGTCCGAACTGTATTTCTGAAACTTCGGCAGTATATTCTGCAGATAAAAATAAGTAAAAAATTGCGTATAAATGTATGTCCTAAAATGCTTAATTTCAGAGATACAGAGGGTGTAAAAGTTTCATATTTATTTCGATTTTTTCCAGATAATTTGTGAAGTAAACGTCAATATTTGGATGAAAATTGGCGTCTTTGATTTTTTTGACATAATAAATTTGATTTTGATGTCAATATGACTTCTATTTGTAGGGGGCGCTATCTACACGTGTTTTAACTGTTTTGAAGAGTAATAACTTTTTAATTTAATTGCAAGAAATTGCTATTTCTCTGCAAGAAAATCTACAAAATAAAATAGTTATTTTTTGTAAACACTGCTGCGTTAATCCAACGGAGACTAATTGTTATCAGTTAGGTTTACTGACAAACAAAGTTTCCTAAGGAACAAAAAAATGCTTAACGTTTCGGAAAGTTTATCTCTTTCCGTCGTTAGAAGCAAAAAAATACAAAGAATAAAGAAAAAAACTATTTAAAATATTTAAATGCAATTATTCGAGAACACTTTAGTTTTTTTTTTTAAACAGATACGTCTACAAAAACCGTTGACATTCTGTTAAAAATTAAAAATAAAATTAAATTAAATTTTGAAGGAATTAAAGAAGATGAGAGATTCTGGTATCTTTTAAATAACCAATCTTTAGCCAACTTTTTTCTATTTTTCTACTTTTTTACTTTTCGTGTTTCTGCCGCCACAGCAAGTAAATCGATTCGCTTCATGTTGTTACCGTTTTTAACACTGGCGTAGTGTGCGTGCAAATAAAGTTTTAATTGTCTAGTCCAGCAGTGTTAATCGACGATTAACA